GGCCGTACTACTAGGAGCAAGGACGCTACTAGGGGCTCCTGGCCGTACTACTAGGAGCAAGAGGACGCTACTAGGAACCAAGGGCATCGCTACGAACAGAGCGATCGGACGCTACTGAACAAGGTCTCCTTCCAGTCGAATCGAGAGGAACTCTCCTGGGGGACATCGGAATCTCTTCGCCCAGGCGCCGAAGTACTCCTTCTTCACCAAAGCCTGGGTGCCGAGCCAAATCGCTTCACGAAACAGCCAGGAGCGATCGGAGCGAATCGAAATGCAGCGTTTCCACAAATCGAACGAATGTTCGTTGGGGTCAAAACCGTTGGAACCCAGTGATAGAATGAACATGAAACATGCACGCATGTCGGAGGCTTGCAAACTTAAGCGTGCTTGGTATTCCAAAGAGGAATTTCAATCGATCTTCAAACCAAGTACCAGTACCACCCGCTGCACGTTGCTGCTTGTGCTACTGTTGGAAGAATCCTGAGGATGTCATGCTGCCATCACGGGAATAGTCAACCACCAAAACTGAGAAAACCCTCTCCCGCGTTGATCGGCCTTTATAGATATAAAATAACATAATGTAACATAATATATAATTGACGTTTTTCAACTGTCGAATCATTCGAATCCACATGTCCTCATGCATCTTCGGGTTGTCTCGGTTTTTCCGGGGGTCTGGTCTTGGCGGCTTGCGGAGATTTGCATCTACCTTGCATCTACCCCAAGCCCTTGGGTTTGTCGGTCAATTGAAGGGCCTTCTTTGTTGACTCAAACAGCCACACACTCATACACACTCCATATAACTGGCATATTGACCCTTGAAACCACCCCAACTGAGTCAATATGGTCCCATTGTCGTTTCTGGGAACGCGCAGGCACGGCCGTCGGTCCGGCGCGGCCCAGCCACCAAACCCGGCTTCAACGGTCGGCTCTGGCTCTGGGTCGACAGCCTGGCCGATGGCCTTTCTTCCACAAAAGACTCGTGATTTCTTAGGGGTCCTCCCCGGAACGACACAAATCCATGGCCAGTTCGGCCCAAGTCACTAATGCGTCACCCTCCTCGGGATGCCCCACGAGCCTGGTCAGAGTGTCCAAAGGGGCTCCCAGACCGACTCGAATCCGACAGCGTGACTCAACGGGTGAACTTCTTTGCTCCAAACGTGACAAAAGAAAACACGACAGGCAGAACTATAGCATACAGCATCCAGCATTTCAATGCTTCAGAAGGCCCAAATCCCCATGATTCATGAATCCCTTTTGTGGTGACTTGCACATTGCCGCGCCATGCAACAAATTGGGGCTGTTCGTGAGGGGCTTGCACTCAGGTAGGACGCCGGCGCATGGCCTAGGTTAGCAGTACCACGGATAGCTCTGAAATGTCCCGTTGCAGAAAAGCGAGACACCTGGAGGAACAATTAGCACCGACTTCCCGACGAGCAGCGCAGTGACATCAATTTGAAGTGCCTTGCTGACCGCGGACCGACATTTCATTGGGAGGGTCAAACCCATAGCCCCGGCTCAACATGTCCACTGTTTTATCTTTGATCTTGGAAGGGCCGCCCATTGACGCCTTTGTGGGTCCTAGGTGGTCCTTGAAGGTCCTGGTGTTGGGTGCCGCCTCTTTGCTTGGGATGATTCTGAAGTGATCCTTGCTGATCCAAATAGCAGAACACCAAGGCATCAGCAACAACCACGAGTCATAAAGCGTTGAAAACGACTCTCTCGGCCAAGCTTCAAGGAACCAAAAGAGGGTGGCCCCTTAAGGATCTTAAGGTAGACTCTTCACTGCGGGCCACCGTTTCCTTTTTTTCGTTGTCCTTTTGGCCACAAATCACAGCAAAGTCAAAGGCCATCAGTCCATCGGTCGTTGTTTCACTTCAGTGGAAAACCATGGAACCCATTGTCTCTCTGTCTGTATATACCGACTATTATATCAACAAAAAAGATCGGTCATGATCCAACTATGCAATACAAGACCAATATCAAAGGGGAAGAGTTGGTATGTTCCTTCTGCGGATTGATCAATCTGTTCAGCTGACCGAAAGAAAAAAATGGAATCCTCCGTCACGCCATCGCGTTCCCTTGATACGAAGGGTAACGCGCTTCGCGGACTTCATGGAGCGCAAAAGGATGCATTTGTGGTAGTGGCAAACCAAAAACAACATGAGGTTCTGTCAGAAAGATATCAACTGTTTGCAAACAGCAAAACTTTCAAAAATACCTCAACTGTCTCACAAATGCTCTGTTCCATCTAGACATTCTGTATCATTCTACAAGTTTTGCCACGTCTCTCCACCTCGCTGTCCGTGTTCGCCCATCACTCCTTGGACCTCTTCAGTCGCAGCACTGAGGGTGTCCAGGAGTCATGGGAGTCTGGGGCACCGAATTCAGAAGATTGCCTGCGGAGCCTCCACATGGGAGAAAGAGCAACATTTTGGCAATTTCTGTCTTCCCAAAACATCAACCCCAGCCTTCCAATGAAAATGTCTGTCTTCTCCAAACACAACCCCTAGCCTCGCAAAGACCGTTTATGTCTTCCCAAAACATAAGCCCTAGCCTTCCACAGACCATTTCTGTCTTCCCAAAAACCAACCCTAGCCTTCCAAAGACCATTTCTGACATCAACCCCAGCCTTCCGAGGACCATGTCTGTCTTCCCAAAACATAGCCTTTCAAAGACAATTTCTTCGATGCTAGCCTTAAAAAGACAACTTCTGTCTTCCCAAAACATCAGCCCAGGGACCCTTTTTACCGAAACACAAACCGTAGCCTTCTTGACCACATCAACCCCAGCCTTCCAAAGACCACTTCTGCCTTCCCAAAACTCCAAAGACCATTGCTGCCTTCCCACATCAGCCCTATCCTTCCAAAGACCATTTCTGTCTTCCCAAAACACCAACCCCAGCCTTCCAAGACCATTTCAGCCGTCCCAATCAACCTTAGCCTTCCAAAGACCGTATCTGTCTTCCCAAAACATCAACCCTAGCCTTCCAAAGGCCATTTCTGTCTTCCCAAAACATCAACCCTAGCCTTCCAAAGACCATTTCTGTCTTCCCAACCACCAACCAGGCCTTCCAAAGACCATGTCTGTCTTCCCAAACATTTAGGCCTTGCGATTACAATGTCTGTCTTGCCAGACACCAATAACCCCAGCCTTCCAAAGACCATTTCTGTCTTCCCGACCACCAACCATCTGTCTCCCACACATGAACCCCAGCCTTCCAAAGACATCAAGCCTGGCCTTCCAAAGGCCATGTAACAGAAAGGTTGACCTGGTTTTGTCGAAAACCCATGGTTGTCTGGTCCCGCGTTGCAGCTTGGATCCAAGACCATCAAAGGATCAGCCATACGGATGGTCCGCTGGCCAGTCAGAGAATCATTGCGTCTCGCCCAACGCTTTTGTCAACCTCGGCTGACTTAAAATGCCTCACTGCACTCCTCCGGATCTGGCCTGGCAGCGACAACCTTACCTCCAGGTGAGCTCTGGTAGAATATGTGCTCTCATACATGATATTTTACTATTATAAACTATTACTATACCATACTATACCCAGTAAACCATCAATTTGGTGGTTTTTGGTCGTAGCTCAAGTCACATACAGACCTCTGTTTTTTGGCTGTTTTTGATGTTTATTGGGGGACCTGTTCAGCCAGCCAGCCAAATGAGTACGTAGTTCAGGTGAGGCAATGCTTTCTTCGATCAGCTCAGATGGCAAATGTCGATGACGACGAGGATTGTCTGGACATTGAAGGTGCCATCATCCTGAGACCAGGGAAAACGAGCTTAGGGTGGAGGCCATGGCTATTAGGGTGGAGGTCATCACTTTTAGGATGGAGGCCGTCGCAAGTAGGTTGGAGGCCATCGCTCTGAGGATGGAGGCCGTCAGACTCGCTTTGGGTCAGTGTCTATCAGGTGACCTGGACCTGAAGACCTCAAGCATCAGATATCGAATGAGGATACCAAAGAAGATCTTGGGAAACACCGTTAGACGCCTGCAATGTGCGATTCAAGGGTAGACGGTAGACGCCTTGATCTCGAATCCACAAGCGGGTCTAGAGATTTCGGCCGCCGGCCCAGCCGCCCAGCTACACGAAGTGCGAACTGGTGTCCCACATCGTGGAGTCAATTCCCCACATCTTGGAGTTAATTATCATTAATTATCAATATTTTACGAACAAGGATACATAATACAACTAATACATAAATATCACATAATATCACGATATCTATTTACCATTAACATTAATTCTTAGTTGACTGATTGATAAAAACCCCCCACGGCTTAGCCTAGACTCGGCCTAGAGATGCTTGACTATCGAGGTAGGGGTGTTAATCCACATCCAACATGAGTTGCCAATTCTGCCATTCCCTCAATCAGCTTCCGATCATGGACAGCCACCCAGCAACCAAAATGACTTCTTTCACTCTAAAACCACCTGCGATGAATCACCTGCGCCATGAATCCTACTCTGAGACGAAGCACCATACAACCGCCCCAAAATTTGGGCGAAGTATACCTGAGGCATCTTGGGGCGTCCGCCGAAACGGGATGCGCGCGGCCTGCATGGCTCCCAAAACGGCTCCAAAGCGAAGAGCCGATGTTTATGTTGAGCATCTCTTTTTGCAGCGGTTCTGACCTGATTATAAAATGGTTCGGAGCCAGGTTCTGAGCATGGGTTGAACGATATGTTACTGTGGATGTTTCAGGGTCAGCTCCACCTGTTCTTTTCAATTGCATCGTTCGGTTCGTCTTGGACTTCGGACCCAGACCCCCAGATCCCGCGGAGCTCGAGCGTCATGCTGGGGCTGTCGGGACTGCCGGCAATAGAGATGCACTTCTCTATTGCTCCATCCATGGCCTGACCAGCGCGAGCTCGAGACAACACCAAGAACATGGAATATCGGAATATCCAGAAAACGATTGGGAGGAAAAGTCCCCCAGTGATTCAGTTAGCATGTGAGTATTTTGTGAGGTGCTGCATGTCCTTTTTGAAATTGAGCAGTTCCTTTCCACCTGAGAACGCCGGGCGTTGATCTTCTTTGGGTGTCTTCATTCGGTTTGGACAAACAAACACATACTGCTGGACCCAAACAACCACTGGTAGAAGACTCAAACCCTTCAGACCGCCAAACAGCCCCAACATACAGTCGAAAGCAAACAGCCTCCTAGGATCCTGGGATCCCTCCCAGGTTTTTCGCAGCCAACTCGACCTAGGTAGTCCGGCCTGCAGAAGATAGTCCGGCACCCGCAGTTCATTGGCCAAATCCTTGGCAGTCTTGCCTGGAGACTGGGAGTCAGGCTGCATCTCTGGAGGCTCGGCTCCACCAAATAGATCAAACGTGGTCTACCCCCCATCTTGGTCCTAAGGTCCTTACAAGTGTGTGATCCAACCTAATACAGGGCCCTCCAAAGACAGGAATCTGTGAAGAGCTACAAAACCGCAAAGTCGGCTAGGAAACGCATATCAAACCTTCACACAACCTCCAGAGCATGGTTTTCATATGTTCCGGCTACAAAACCCTTAAACATGCGCGTCTTCGATATTTTTCGCATGTAAGATTAGTCTAACAGAACCCCGGCCCGGCGAGGCCGGAGTTGTTGCGTCCCACGCGTGGTTCCTAGCCGTTGGGGTGTTGTTTCCCCTTGCAGTTTCAAGCACCGTCCGAAGAACAAACGTAAGAACGTTTAGTGCCCCTGTTGTTCTGGTTCTCTTCACTCTTCTACTTCAGATGAACCCAGAAAACTCGTGGAGTCTGGCATCGAACTCCGAAATCGGTTCCCACCCTGTGGGGGGGCCACTGTCCCCCCAACGCAACACAGGGTGCCTCGGGCGTTCCGGAGATTCACATTGGCGCCCTCCACCAGCAAGCTCGAAGCCGCCTCCGCCAGGGCTCGAGATGTGCTGGACACAGGGCTGACCCCGAATGGCCACTGATTAACTATATATAGCTGTCCAAACGGTAAGCTACAAGCGAGAGGTTTACACCAAATCTATCAGAGAGGTGAAGGACACAATCATGGATAATTAGTTTGGGGGTTTGGTTGGGGAATCTGTCATCGAGCACAACTGACCTATCTCTACTACTACTGTGTACAGATTCTATGAAGTAAAAACAATCGAGCACTACTGTTTGTTAGGTTTGGTGTGGGTAAAATTGTTGCATCTCTTTCATGCGTCTATTGGCATCATCCATCGCCACTGCCCACAACCATTGTGGTGCTACATGTCGGATCCTTTGGGGCTCACAGAATGGGGGATGACTCCAGTGACAGGCCTCTTGCGGCATCGTTTTTGGGACCCCATGACCATCATGAGGCCCTAACTCATTATGTATGGCCATGTCTGGCCTGCTATTAGGTTGGAGGCCATCGCTAGTAGGCTGAAGCATGTTGCCTCCCTCTGCCCACCTCAAAGTTGCCACACAGGATCGCTATCATGAGCGGTGTGGCATGGCGGCTGTGGTAGCCCACGCGGCGCAGCATGGTGCGACGGCCCCAGGTGTACTGAATGCCTCAGGGACTCACCGAGAAAGGGTGCATGGTCTGCAAGGTTCAAATTCAACTGTGAAAGGCTGTGATTTCTATCTTTCGTACAAGTATTGGCCGGAAACGCCTGCAAATGCCAAATCTTACGTCTAACGATTGTCATCTGTTGTATACCAACTAATCCGCCGGCCTGCCGGCGTGTCTTGTGGATGTGCTTGTACTTGTACTTGTCTAGTACCAAAGTTGTTCATCGCTTACATTGCTCCTCTGCGCGGATTTTTGCCTCGACTAACTTGACCCCCCCCGCCCCCGCTTTGCACGTTGTTGTCTTCGTTGTCGCCTTCGTCATCGGCGTCGGCGTCCTGCACGCGCGTTGCCTGTGTGTTGCTTGCACTTCACAGCGTTTTGCCATGGCTTTAAAAACATTTTGCCCACGGTTTCCACCATGTACACCCAACCACGGTTTACACCAGCCATCGTTTACACCAAGCCACTGTTTACACCAACCGCGGTTTACACCAACCACCCTTTACACCAAACCAAGGTTTACACCAACAACCGCTTACACCAAACCACGGTTTACGCCAACCACCGTTTACACCAAACCAAGGTTTACATCAACCAACGTTTACACCAAAACGCAGTTTACACCCACCACCGCTTACACCAAACCATGGTTTACACCAACCACCGTTTACACCAACCACCACTTACACCAACCACCCTTTACACCAATCCAAGGTTTACGCCAACCATCCTCTACACCACACCACCGTTTACACCAACCACCGTGCCGTTTGCACCAAGCCACGTTTTGCACCAACCATCGTTTACACCCAACCGCGGTTTGCACCAACCATTTTGCAACACGCCCCACTTTACACCAACCACACTTCACATCAAGCCACGGTTTTTACCAACCACCGTCTAAGCTCACTCATGATTTACGTTGCCTTCTTTGCGACTTTTTCCCACCTCTGCACTTCCACACACCCCTTCCCCTCCCCTGGCCGTTTCTCTGCGTTGCGTCTCCCACCCTTGAGGCAAGCTCCCTTGATTACGCTTTGCTGGCTACATGTTGCTCACTTGCTTTCCCTCACCCGCTCCACCGGCAGGAGTCAATTTGTGCCTTGCTCTAGGGCCAGCCCTTGCCGTTTCTTTGCTTTGTGTCTTCCCCTGCCTTCAATCTAGCTCCCATTCTCGTTTTATTTGCTCACGACACGTTGGTCCTCTGAACACATGCGGCAGCATTCAGCCTTGGAGCGGCACACGCCAACGGCGGTTATATATTACAGAGTTGCTCCTGCCAAGGATGCTCCAGCCGTTTCGCTGTTATATAATATAGTTCTACCGGGCTGGGGTCAGCTCCTGCCAATGAGATCACAACTTGATCACACGGTGTGCCAGGGGGTTAGCAAAGGATAAGCAAGCTTCAATTGCAACTCTTTTCGAACGCCAAAACCATGTTTCAATCGGTTTCAATGCAATTCTTTCCACCACACAAAAAATAGAACAAACAAACCGCAGAATGCATCCTATTTCATGCTTCCCTCAGGTCGCCACGAGAAAAAGGAATACTGTACCCCCACAGGTTTTTTGCCTTTCACGAAAAAACAACCCTGCTGTTTTTGCATTTCAACCGTGCCTTTCACCGTGTGAAGCATCCGGATCACGTTGTTGGCCAAGTAGGGTTCGTCCACATCAGCGCTGGCCTCGATGAGGCGCCGCACCAGCACGGCGGTGCCCTGGAACATGGCGGCCGTGTGCAAGGTCCGGGAGAGATCAAAGGACTCGGCTTCACTCCTCAGCGTCTTTTGCAGATGTTTTTGCCAGTGTATGGTGTGGGAACATGGACAGCTTCGCACTTGAACGAAGGGTTGAAGCCCAAACGCTCCAAACACTCCAAAATCATGGATGGGAGCGCGTTTGATCCCACACAGGCTGGTTTTGGAGGTCGTAGTGGGTTCACTGACCATCCCTAGGGATCTACAGACATTCGAAAAGCTTGACTGGACCCTCCAAACCTAGATACAGGCGTCGAACACATCACGTTCTCAAAGCGTATATGGATCCATGTAGGGCATGGTCATGGTGTTGGATGATGATGCTCTTTTCTGACTCTTACCGATGGTTGAACCTGATTCAAGCTTACGAACACGCACGCCAGCAACATTGGCTACACCAACCGGGTCCCCGGTAAGCTTGCTCACCTTTTGGCAGCCTGCTGTCTTGTCGAGGGTACAACCCAATGGTTCAACACAAATTACATGGGCGAGCTTGAGTTTTGAGACGTTTTGAGTGTCACCAAAGCTGCAAATATTGCAATCGCATGACCGTCAATCAGCCCAAACTACGGCATCCTCATCCGTGGCCAACCTGGGACGGTCTCACGGAAATGTCAAACAGCCCTAAGATCCTGGACACCAAGCATGGCCTTCGGCTTCTTGCCCCCATCCACCCCCGTTCGACACCGGGCATCAAAAACGCCTGTGTAGCATCCTCGGCCCCAGCGGCGATCGCCATGTGCAGGGCATGGTCTCCAAAGCGGTTCCTCGGTCCATCAACTGTCGACTCCGAGAGAAGTGATGGCCACGATGGTGGTCCTTTTTGTGGAAGCTTTGGTGGAAGGGAGGGCATGATTTTGTCAGGTGCCCATTTCTGTCCAATTACTGGGGTTTGACAAGTTGATCGACTCAAGTCGATACACCCGTGCGAGGCGTAATCTTCCAAAGGCTCATATTTTTCCACTGCTTTGGGTTCCTTGGGTGTCCCTGGCTTTCACTGGCTGCCAGGTGGTATTCCGTTCAATTTTTCTGCTGAAACACCAAGGTTCTTTTTCCTTGGGTCTGCAGAGACGCTACACAGCAGCCGGATCCCAATGGGGTCGTTTTCCAGAGCGGCCACGCCCACCTGGGTGGCGCCGGAAGGATCGGTCGGACCGGTCAAAGCCCCTGGACGTCCAGAAGCGGTGGTGAAGCGCTCAGAAATAGGTGAAACAAATTTCATGCTCCTCACACATGGGTTGTACTTCAAGAATGGTTCCCTAGTGAGGCTGGCTGGAAATTCCATCAACAGCTGTGAGACCTCAGGGTGTCTATTCACCGCCTCAACTGCCATACTCTTCTTGTACCCAAAAAAATTTTTTCGGCCCAGGCGCTGGAAAATGTGGGATCGCTTGAGTACTCACTGCAGCATTGGCCGCGAAGAGCAGCTGCATGGCTTCATGGTTCTTGAACCTGGCGCAAATGTGGATCAGTGAGCAGCCTTTGTCCAAGTTGATCTCGGCACGCGCCTGCGGGGACAAGGCGTAGGATGCAAAGTACACACCTTGACACCCCATGAAAACACGTGTTGGGGTGGAGATGAGATGCTGGACACCTCAAAGAACTGGATTCCATATCCTTCTTACACCTTCAACCCGTCTATTTTAATATCATGTTGGAGCCTATGTATATACATATGTATATATACACTGCAAGACGGATGCGGTCCTTTTGCTATGAAGCTTGGGCCTATTGGCCATGGGTACAGTTTCGTTTTGCGCGTGTCATGTACGCAGGATTGCCTCATGCTGTTGAACCCTCATGACATTCCATCACTCCTCCTTCCTGCGTACATATCTTGCACCGATTGAGGTCTCGCGCATGCCCTCCTGTCCATCACTGACTGGCCCCGGCTCTTGCTGTCGATGCGGACTCCAAATCCTCCAGTGCCGAACAGATAGGAGCACACATGCCATGCATGCTTCATGGCTTGGGCTGTCGGCTTCGCCATATGTCGCGCCAGGCATTGATTGACAAACTGGGCGTCCGGTCTCTCCCCTGCCAAATACATTAGCCTCCCAACAATGCTCCTGTACTTGGTGACTTCTCCTCCTTCGAGTACAGGCGAGGTGTCCTTCTTCGTGAAGTTTGCATCCAGCGGGGTTTTCCGGTAGAACTTTGAGAACAGGTCCACATCCTTTTCAAAGCTGTCATACTGCTTTCTATCAAGGTGAACTCCCTCTTCAAGTAGTGGAATCTTTCACCGGGATTGAACGGTCCCTTTTCTTCCACATTCCAGCTTTTCCTCTCCTTCAGGTAGTTCACAAAGTCCCGGATCCGCTGAGCAATGCCCACCATGAACACATCATCCACATGCACTGTCAAATACAGCTCTTCAGGGATGTACAAGAGAGTAGGCTGCATGGGATCTTGTTTCATCCCGAACTCGATGCAAGCTCCTGCAAAATGCTGGAACCACTGTGATGCAGCTGTCCTCTGGCCAGGTAGGCATCGAAGCAACTTGAATATGCGGCCATTCACTCGCACATATGCACGTTCTTCGGCGGGCTGTGGCGACATCAGGAAGGCGTCCTTGACATCTAAAGTCATGACCGAGAATCCCCCTTAGACACTCAACGTCAAGTGGAGGAGCATCTTTGGCAAGCACATCATTCCCGATGGGGCGAATGTTTGCTCCAACTGTATTGAGTTTCTGAACTGCCTTGCCACTAATCGGGCTCGACGAAACCACCCGCCTTGATCAAGTCGATGCTTCCAGCACATGACTTCCTTTGTGGAAATGATGTATCCACCGCTTGCTTCCACCTCCTCTGCTCCAACTTCCACCATGGCTGGAATCTCCAACATCCGGTTGATCTCTTTGTCCTTTGCCATGGTATCCAGATGTTCCAACTCTTCTTCACTGACCTCAGGTGGATCATCTCCTTCTTCACCTCCATAGCCCAGATCTCCTCCTCCATCACATCCTCTGGGATGTAGTCTACACCAACTTCCTCGTCTCCATGCGCCTCAACTACATTCACTCCCGCAAAATGCGGTGGGTACAATGGACCAGAACTTGTCGGTGAGGCTTGCGTTGATGTCTCTGTTGGCGCTGACTCCATTGGGACTTCAGGTGTTCTTGGAACCTCCACACATGCCTTCTTTTCATCCTCATCATCGCTGACCTCGATCACCCTTTTCTCATGCGCCCTGCGCGGTGAAGTGGATTGATCCACCTTCTTCTCTTCATGCTCATCTTCTCTCTCCTCCTCCAGTAATGGCCTCTTGTCACCCTTCGACCTCGGTGACGTCAATGCCGGTGTTGAAGGCGCAGGAACTACAATGCCCGGTGTGGTCGGCTGTGCACGTAGGCCTGGCGCCGGTGTCACTACTCCAGCAGCCACATCTGTTGCAATCTGCTTCATGTCCTCTTCGGCGGCGTCAGTCTCTAACGTAGGCAGTCGGTACTTCTGGGCTTGACCTGAGTGCTTCATGAGGATGCCTTGCGGCGAGTAACTCCAGGGTAGACCTTACAACATGTCCACGCTCTTGAAGGAATCTTCTGGCGCCAACCTCCTGATGGTTCTGCTCAAGGACTCTTCCGTGCAGGGATATGGTGATATCGGCACTTCTGATCCACTCTCCCAGAAGTCCTTGAACTTTGTGGGAGAGAAGAAACTCAGCATGCGCATAGGCTCATTGTCCATTGAAACTCTGCGGAAAGCCATGCTGCCCAGACTGTTGATGTCCTCCACATTCTCCAGCTGAGTCCAGGTATCATCCTTGTTCTTCACCAGAGTGAGCCGTGCTTTCTAGCTCTTCTCAACGCTACCCGGATTCGTCATGTGGCTGGCCACTGTGTCGCTAAAGACCAGCGCTCCATTAGGCAATCGATGCCATCCCGGGGTCATCTCGAGGCTCTTCACATACTTGCTCAAGTAGCCTGACAATGCGAACACTCTGGCCTCCTTCTCGTCGTGCTGCGTTGATGGAGACTTCACTGCAAAGATCCTTGCTTCAAACTGCAAGGAATTTCTCTCTGTGTTCAGAGGGATCTCAATGCACCTTTCTTCATGCTTCAGGCGCAGCTGTCCTTCAACTCCACCGAGGCTCCATCCTCGTTGCAGCTATCGCCCTGCACATAGGATTGGTCGGTGTACAGCGCCCAACACGAACTCCTCTACAAGCTCGATGGTCTTCCCTGCTCGATCTTTGATCCTCACTCTTGCCCTTGTCAGCCCATCATAGGCAATTCGTCTGCCTTGGGCATCTACGATCTTCAACTCCCCACTGCTGGCCACACTCGTCCCAACACCAGCAAACTCTCTAGGGAGCACAGAGATGTCTGCTCCACTGTCCAACGTCACTAGACAGGTGTCATCATCTCCAGTCTCTTCCAGCTTCACCATGTTCACCTCCAGCTCTTCGTCCTGCAATTCCATAGCCACTATAGCCACATGCCTTGGGACGTCCACTGTCGGTTCATGGCACTCCTTGTACTCATCCTCTTCAATCTCATAGAACTCTTCACTCTCGTCCTCAATGGACACCATGCCCACACGCCAAGGGTGAGTGTCTTCCTCTCCATTTTGCCGAGGTGTAGTCAGGTCAAACACCTCCAAGGATGCTGCCTCAGGCGGGGTCTCAAGTCTCACCATCTTCACCGAGGCATACTGAATCGCAGGGCCAGGGTTCGTCACCTGCTGCTCCTCAATCTGGTTCACTCGCTTCCAGCACTCCTTTGCAAAGTGCCCTGGCTTGCCACAATTGTGGCACACGCCAGACTTTCCTCCTTTTGGACTTGGGCTCTTTCCTTTCTTCCCTGGACCTTTCTCCCACATAGAGCGTCCTTTGTCACTCCCTTTCCAGGAGCCTTTTCCATCCTTTGCTTTGCCCTTGTCCTTTCCTTTGGATTTGCCTTTGTCTTTTCCTTTTCTGCCACCTTGGACTTGCCGATGTAATCCACTTCCATCGGGGTGGCTTCATCTGCTGAGGCTCTCATGGGCACCATCAGGCTGTTGGACGAGTCCCATCTCGTTGTCACGGCCTCCAGCTGCACAATGCGATCTTTCAGCTGCTCATAGCTTGTAGAGTCCGTCAGCCACAGGTGCAAATGCTGCCTAATGGTCATTGGGCAAGCGAGGAGCACTGCAGCTACCTTTGCATCATCGGAGTAGTCTTGCCCGGAGATGCGCTCATACTCTTGCACGAGGGCCTCGAACTGGGGCAACTGCTCAGATACCGTCTTCTTCTCTTCAAACTGGATCCTCGAGAGCTGGCTCAACAGGGCTAGGGATCTGGCCCTGGTCGCTGGTTGCATCTCTTTCAAAAGCACCCTCCATGCCTCGAAACCATTCTCCTTCTTCATGTGCCGGATCAACTTCAGAGGTCTGTGGCGGAGGTACGAAGTCAGAAGACTGTATAGTCTCACGGCCTTGCCTTTGGTCTCATCAGACATGTCGTCCATGACACAGTTGCCATTCACATTCTTCTCAACCATATCCATGTTGCTGGCCATCGATGGGTCGATGCCCTTGATGTAGTTCACAAACGAAAACTTCCAGTCTCCCCAAGTCTTCAACTCTGCATCCCGGCTCTCAGGCTTGAACAGATCAGGCGTCTTCAGGTGCCTGCTCCAGCCTTGTGCCGTCTGGTGGACAGTGAGTCTCTCCAGTGCGACTGCCACCAACTTCAGGCTCTCATCAGCCATGATAGCTAAAGGGCCCACCTTCGGGCAGTAGGTCTTGGTCGTCACACCTGCTCCCCCTTCTTCCACTTTCTCTCCAAACCCACTGTGGGCGATGATCTCCCAGAAACGCCAGTTGCTCACTAGCACCTCCAGGTCCTCCTCGTCGGTCTTCTCCTTCAGGTACTCGACCTTTTGGATGAAGCGCCAATTGCTAGGCACTACCACGATCACCTCCTTCACCTCGTTCTCCTTTGGCTTCCACTTCACACCCTCAAAGCCTTCGGGCTCTTGGTCCACCTGATCCTCCCGGCGTAGACCTCTGTCTGCACACAGAGGGTGTGGATCTGTCGAAGACTTTGGGAGGATGGAACCACCTTGGTAGAACTGAACCTCCTGCCGAGCTGCGGAACCCAGGCCTCCAGCCAATCCTGAAAGGATCACCAGCTCCAGCAGCCACAAAGATGGAATCGAGGGGCTCGTGGATCGCGTCCTCCGGGATGAGGAGATCGTAGTGCTCGTAGTGCCGCGTGGGTAGGGAGCCCCGGCGCTTTACGGCCAGGGCTCCCCTACCATGCAAGACGGATGCGGTCCTTTTGCTATGAAGCTTGGGCCTATTGGCCATGGGTACAGTTTCGTTTTGTGCGTGTCATGTATGTTGAACCCTCATGACATTCCATCATATACTGTATAAATATATATATATAAACATGTGTGTGTATATATATAGGAACCCGGGATGGACCGTGGAACCCCTTTTATATGTGTCCTATCCCCTTGGGCCTTCTTGATCTTTTCATTGGGGTCGATGCGTTGCTTCAGCAAGGCGGCCACCAAGGGGACGTCGCCCTTCATGCAGGCATAGCACATGGGAGACCAGCCAGCACTGTCATAGTCGAAGGGGTTCTGGAATCCATTCTGATACCTCAGAAGCACATCATCAAAGAAACTACAAACAAAAATCCAAACAAAACAAAATAGAAACCTTTGGCCAAACCCAAGAATGACATGCCATTCCTCAGTATCACCTCACTATGTTCCGCCATTTCGTTTCACACAAACCCCTCGCGCGGCTCGCTCGTTTGGAGCGGGCGGTGACTTTCCAGGCAGCTTCCGACTCCAAACCACTAAAACACCCAGCGAATCCTTTAGACTTTACGGGGGTTCCAAGCAGAACCCTGACCCGCATGTTGCCAAGCACAGCAGAAAGCGACATAAATCGCTCCAAAACATCCTCCCCTTCGAAGCCGGGGACCACATCCTGGCGCGATTCAGGCGGACACCAAAGCAACAAGGCATGCCTTTGGCATCCTTTGCATGCCTCAAGGCCCGCCTCGATGGGCTTCACGGGCAAGCCTCTCAAAATGGAGGTTTGCTGGTTCAAAAGGAAGCGGTAGTGGGGCAAATTCATGTTCTCCAAGCCTTGACCGCGAGATTTCACCACGTCGGACGACATGAATGGGCCGCAACGTGCGAGGAATGGGTATACGGTATACGGTATACCACTGTGACATACCCGAAGGTCCAGTGGAGAGCTTGCATGGACCCACTTAGTACGCCGAAGCCTTCTTGAATCCTTCTGGATACTGTAGGATGCCGAAGCCTTCTTGAATCCTTCTGGATACTGTAGGAATCCAAAAACTGCACTTTTCCCACCAACACGAAGGATGGAGGATTCAAATAATCCCGGCAAGAGACCCCAAACAGTGTGTGTGTGTGTGAGGTCTAGAGGTGTAGCAGCAGAAAGTCTGGAGATCTAGACGCAATGGCGTCCAGCTTGTGCTGATGAAGGTGGAGATCGTGGTGAGTGAGTGGAGGTGGAGGTGGAGGTGGAGGTGGAGGTGCAAGGTGGAGGTGGAGGTGGAGGTGGAGGTGGAGGTGGTGGTGGAGGAGAGGTGGAGGGAGTGATGGAGTGAGGTGGAGGGAGTGATGGAGTGAGATGGAGTGAGTGAGTGAGTGAGTGAGTGAGTGAGGTAGGTGAGTGAGTGAGTGAGTGAGTGAGTGGAGGGAGGGAGGGAGGGAGGGAGGGAGTGAGTGAGTGAGTGAGTCACGATTCACGATTCATTGCACCTGTCACGAAATTAGAGCGCGTCGAAGATCACCACCATGTCCAAAGGACACGAAAAGTGACCACCAAAGACACCGGCGCTTAATAAACTAATACCGTAAGAACCCCTAGTGTGTCCGCACTGTTTGGGGAATTAGAAAAAGACATCTCAACTGTTGGGGGCAGAAATGCACTTCCAAGATATCGAGAGGCATGAATGTACTGTACTGTAAATAGCTGCGACTTAGCCGGACACCCCGGTGCAACACCTCGATTACCAGTTCCTCCACTGGCCAAGCATGTTTGGTGAACAAAGTGCTGAAACTGACTCAAACACAGGACACTCAGCATCAAGCTAGTCCACCGAAAAAGAGACTGCAAACGGTCCTAGATTTTCCTCTGCTAACCTTCGCACCAACTCGATGAAATTCTCCTCTTCTGTGCCCGAGGACTCCTCATTTTGACAGACTCCTGAGTCATGGTTGGAACTTTTAAAGCACCAAAGCCAAGACGCAAGAGAGCAACTTCTTCTTCACAAACTTGGCCAAGACCACTCCGATGCGATCGCGGTCGCTCTCCACCGTGAAGGACCCCTGGCAAACGGTCGAAGGAACGCAAACGGCTTCACCCCTGGAGTCGTCGTCGGTGTCTTTCCCTCTTTAATCAGCCCTAAACAAGTACAGGTGCCTGTAGCCAGCAGTGCTGATTCATCTGTACAGTGTGGACAGAAAAACAGTTGCTTGGTCTTTTATCTGAGATATCTCCTAACTGGTCTGTTTCTCTTTCTCCTTCACCAAATCATCCCACTCTCGTCCACCCAGGTGTCGAGTCCGCCATTCACACCGCGCGCGCGTCTCTCGTGTGTCTCCAGGGAAAAGTTCGGCGCCTCTCCCGGCGAACAGTTCGACAAGGGGGCTACCTTGGTGTGACAAACGTTCGTCTGCCAAGTCGCCCCCGCCCGTTTTTCCAGTCACCAGTGACAGGTCACTCATTGGATCGAACAGAATCTCTTGCTTGAGGTCTAAGTTTGCAGATCAGCATAGGGGCCCCTATAACCATTTCAGCTGGATTTGTTCAGGGCATCAATTCTTTGAACTGTAGCCTCCAGGAGTTTGGGAACAGCATGGAAACAACAAGTTTGGGCCGCCCTGCGTTCATAGCCACAAGAAAACCGATCGGTTCTCGACAAGGCGGTCAACAAAGGAAAACGGCGCGGCCAAGCAGGGCACAAACCCGGACAAGGTCCAAACCAAAAGAAAGGGTGGACGGCACAGCCACGGCTATCGTGGCCAGCCCTTTTTTCCTAAGAGAGAACCCCAACAGTAAACTGTTTGGGGAAAACACTTGTAGAATCTGGTAGATACTTGTAGTATCTTGATGTATCTTGTAGTCAAAGCAATTCCTTGGCGACATGCTTGTGCTTTCGTTTCCAGCAGCTCACCCCAGTTGTGAGGCGGCCAGAAAACCTGACCCGCCAAATCAGCCAACCGGCGCGCAACTCCTGGTGCATTGCACTCTTCACCATAATCCAAGATCCTCTCAAAGGGTGGCAGATGATTCAGGCTTTGCTAAGAGTCGACTCGGGCTATTTGCAGCAAAAAAGACACCCAAAAACGAAGCGAACCTTGAGAGTGAGAAATCTGCGTGGGTGAAATCTAAATGCATCCTTCGATTCCATGATCACTTCCTCTCAACAGCCGCATTAAACCACAAAATCCAGTCGAAACCGCTCAAAAGAAAGGCATTGGTCTGCTCGTACGATCCCTATCTATGCCGTTTAAGATGTTTAAGCATCTCGTTGGTCTGACCGTTCACTGCTCCTTGGTTGAAGGTGAGCTCATAGACCACGCGCTCCACTCGGCACCAGCCCCGGTGGGCCCAACTGTGCTCGCTGAAGGTCTCGGTCTCCTCTGGATTGGACAGCACCGGGCAAAGTGCCACGAAGAAGTCGCACCTCAGGGGGGTGGTAACCAAGTGGGATTGGAGACATGTTGAAACCCTCTATGACTTTTCATGCGTTTACATGTAAGAACTCCTTTTGCAAACCTCATAATATCTCATATATTTGGCGCATTTTAATGCATTTTATGACATAGGCGTGTCTGTCTGGCATGTGTATTTTTCCATTTGTGCGAAGGCCTATTGGGCCGTAGACTGACCTGGTCGGGTTTGAAAACCCTCCGGCTCCTTGCACGTTTCCGGCCCGGCCCCGCACCTGGAGACATATGATGGGATGCTGCTGATCGCCTTCTGTAGGCCCTGCTCACTTACATGTGCAGCTTGTGGGCACGAGAAGTAGTCGTACCACAAGTAGAGATTTTGCGCTTGCCACTCCGAGGCATTGATCCCCTGGTGCTGACAGAGCGCCGGTTCCGCCGTGCCACGAGGCACGAGGGGGTTCCGACGAGGGGATGAGGGATGAGGCGACCGTCCTGATCGCTGAGGGGGTCGATCCTCCACGGGTTCTCTAAGACATGTTGGGCGCCAAAGGATTCACCACCCTTCGAAAGGTGGACCATCGCTTCAGCCCAGCGATGGGACATGGGCTCTCTCGGCAGGTGTCGACCTGCCAACCCCTCCCTCAGCTCTTAACCATTACAGACTTCCACATCCAGCCCCCCCATAGGTGACCAACCCACCCCTTCAGTCTTCGGCCCCAACAACTCCCCACGGTTCCAGCGCTGCTTTTTCAAAGCACCCACTTGGAACCCGGCCTTGGAGCGGAAGTACACAGCCTCGGTCACCAGGTCTACGTTCACCTCAGAGGTGCCGGAGATCAGATTCTGCAGCGAGTCCTGCAAGACTTGCATCCTGAGCGGTGCCGGGTCACCGGGTCCAAAGCGAGAGTTAACGCCAAACTGGTGTGGTGGGAAAAGACATGATCAATGTATAGAGGAAAGGTCTGGAAGAAGGCACTTCATAAAACCACATAAAGGATCATCCAATGTTCTTCTGTACGAGGGGCGAACCTAAGGAAAAACATACACTCTTTCAATCTCTTTCAACATACTATAGGCACAACCGTGGGGAGTCACGCTTGGGGTCTTCATGATTCTGAGGGTGGTCAACTGTGGTCAATGCCCACAAGTCACCCTGGGTCATTGAGTTTGACCATTCCGGAAAGAAGGGCATCACTGATTAGTTGCTGAGCCAACCCCTCCAAATACCCTACAAGCAAACAGCTATCCCTTGTCCAAAGATATCTCCAGCTATACCCCTTGTCCACACACCGCCGCACAGCATTCTTGTGATTGCATCGCCCCATCTGTAATCTTTCAACAGCAGCATCGGACATCCGAACCGCGGTTCCCTATGTTCCCTTCGACCCGAACAAAAAGACCAATCACGGCACGAAGCCGAGCAAACTGCTGGAGCACTCTGCCGAGCCACTGCTTGAACTCGGGATCTGGATGTCCTTTGCCAATCCACTGATGGGACACAAACGCGGCCTTTCCAAGGCTCTTCTGGAAAATGGTGAGCTCCCCACCTGCAAAGCTTCTGCAAAGCCGGCGAAGCGCGCAGCGAAGGTGGGTGCCCTGGTACGCGCCGCCCTGGAACCACACTCAGAGAGTAATGATGAGTAATGGTAGTTGAAGCATGCCCCAGAACTTCGTTTTTGGCTCTGTTTTCATAGCTATAGTTATAAGTCATCCACAGAGGTGGTTTTATGACCTGCCTAAACATCACTTTTGGATACCTGTGGTGTCTTGCTGCATCGGCCAGGAAAGGGAAGATTCCACTGAAGCATCTTGCAATATCGCCTATGGCTATCCAACCTGGTTGGGCTGTATAGAAAGCTCCTTGGACTTCTTTCTCAACTTCAAAAAGAATCCTTCGACTTTCCCTGCAATCATGCCCCCTGGGCTCTTCGCCCTTCGCGCTCTTTTTTACTGTCGGCCCTGTCGGCCAGCAGCACAGCGTGGCGCCAGCCCAGCGTCGGCCAGTGCAGCAGCGCAGCGCAGCAGCCGGCCAGCGCAACACCTCGGCAGCTGTGGAGGCTTGCAACATTCGTATATGAGTTAGCGTCAAAATATATGCTTGGAGTGTTTTCGTTTCACTTTTGTCAGCCCCCTATCGTTTTCCATGGTTTTGGATTTTGCAAGTATGTATACATAGGGGTATCGTTTTTTGTCAGTCCCCTATCGTTTTTCAAGGAAAATCACGAAAGCAACACAGAGATGAAACGTCCCTTACTAAAGTGGTTGATGATAATTTTGAGGTTGCCTCATATGCGTCTGTATCATCGCAAACTCTGTGGGTTCGAGAAGGGGAAGTTAGGAATCATATGCTACATCTTGCTACCTGAAGATGTTAAAGTGGAGAGAATGCCAGACCTGGTCAAAGCTTTGCACATGATATCGATCAGACCACTTGGGCCAGTTGGCCTCCATGTATATATTAGACCGCAACTTCTGTCAGTTGTGGCTCAATCTGTGCGAAGGCCACCCTGTAAAACAAGCGCCGCAAAGAAAGCTTAGGGAAACATTTCCCCAACCAAAAATGATGTGACAAGCAAATCTCCGTGGATCCAGGCAAGTTTTTCACTCAGACGCCCAGAGTTTTTCTCTGGCCTCCCTCCACTCCTTCGCCTCAGGCGATTGGAGCCAATCTGCCAGCTTGGCAGCTAGCGCCGAACGAGTCTGCCCTCTTCGGGCCTTCCGATCAACAAACAGCGGAAGCGGTGCCAAGTATCCTCGCTCAGTGATCGCTCCTTGGATGGCTGGGCTGGGAAATCGATGGTTGATGGTGGTTGAGGTTGGCGGGGCCAAGGAAGGACATCCCACACAATGGCTCTGGGACTGTTTTTCCAACGATATGGAGATCCCAGTGACGTGGAAGGATCGCAGCGATGCGTAAGCCAAGAGGCGGTTCAGCGCAACGATGTTGTTCTCGGACCACTCCAGCGGGCGGTGCGTCTTCCGGAACGCTTCGCCTCAAGGACCAGGCAGAGTTCAGAGAGCAGCCTACCTGACCTGTGGGCATATATAGGAGGGTCTGAGGCTTTCTTACAAGCGCCGACTAAAAATATTGCCTTTTCCCACCCTGACTCAAGAGCCAAGCAGCGGTCATCCGGGAGCAACAAGCGGTTCAGCTCAAGATCGACTGCAGTGGCATCTGCACAACGTCCTGCCAAGTGGCAAGCATTCCGGAGGTTAAGCGGCCTATAGGACTCTACTGAGGTACCTGAAGGATAGTCTGTAGGGTTCTTCAACCTCTGTTGGTTTGGTTCGTATAGCTAAGCTGAGCCAATCCTGTCTTTTCCAAAGCAACCACAGAGGCTTGCTTGCCGGAGGAGAGCCGGTAAGAAGAACTTGCAGGGGCTCCAGAGTTCAGCCGTCGGCGAACTTGACGGCGAGAAATCAGAGGCCGCATACCTCAAGGATAGAAGTTGGAAGTGATGGCTTTTTGCATTGTGGAAAGGGTGCAGAGATGCTCTGATGAAATCAAAACGAACTATACACTACTCACATGAAATTGGTGCTCATATATCGTCGCTATCTCATGCGGCCTTTCAGGTCGCCGAAGGTCGGCCCTTCAATTGCTTTGTGCCTTCGAGCTTGAAAGCAAACAGGCAAAGGCAGGCAGACATACACTCTTGAAATAATAGCCAACAGGCAAGATGCAGGCGTACATATCCCAGATGTCCATGGTTCCCAACCAAAGCCAGGCAAACCATGAGCTGCCCCGAGGGCATGTCCGCACTGCTTTGCTCAGAGCGGGCCCCTTCTGCGAGGCCTGAGCAGGGCGGTGATCCCTTCACAGCTCAATACATCATTGAGGCTGGCGTTGGCACCGTGCGAGCTTGGTGTGCTGGAACCCGGGTCCTTGCCCCGCACGATCTTGAAGCACTTTGGAATTTAACTGTAGTTATGTTCTCGGGAATACAAGGTGTTTGAATCTTAATAATTCCAGCTCTGGAGCCTATACCAGTTGACAGCCATTGCTACTACGACGATGCATGGGGTGGATGCCCTGCAGAAACCATCGCCTCCAAAGCCAACTGAACTGTAATATTATTGACTTGACTATAACTCTGTGGGGCTGGCCATCGGACCCCGTTAGCGTAATTCCGCCTTCCGACCGAGTTGCGTGCCAAGGGCAGGCCCGTTGGCCTATGCCAGACCTGTGCCATTGGGACTTCGTCGCCATGACGAGCTCCTGGGAAGGGCATCGTCAAATTGACGCGCGCACTGCAAGCCTGTGAGATGAGCGGTTCTGAAGTCTAGGAAATAGGAAGCTGAACGCAACAAAGGTCCTCCAAAGCACTGTCGCTGCAACGGCGCAAGGAGATTGCGCCCAGAGGGACACCACGGACCTGCGCGCATTCAGGCGTTACACGCAGCTGTCAGCCACATGCGCAGCGACCAAGGCCCTGTCTTCAATTTTCACCCCTCCGCAATAATTCCGTGACGACAGCTTTAGACTGTTGAAACTACCCAATGAAAAATGAACAACAAGCTGCCTGCTCGAACAACAGCCAGAACGCCCTCATGTGCTCTGCGTCGTTGCACAAAGCACGCAAAGTTATGGTTGACATTAAGATGTCCGCTGGCTGCTGGTGCTGCACGAGGGTGTACAGCTGGAGCGTCGCGCGGTCCAAGAAAGGGGCCGGCGCCCCATGTTTGGTCCTCTGTCAAAATCCGAGTGATGTTCGGTTGAAGCATATATGGGCATACGACGAATGCCTTCCCCTGGTAAAGAACCACCAGGCTGAGAGCCACTTGATACGAGGGTGCAGACTGGAAGGAACCTTGAATGTAGAAATATACATAATACATACATACATACATACATACATACATACATACATACATGCGTGCATATGGAATAAACTATATCTGTACAATATACGCCTCAGGATTTCAGAGCCCCAACCAGGAGGTTCACACTGCTTGACGAGCATCAGAGCGTACTCCTGAAACTCGCCACCAACCTGGAGCGCATTGCGACGCTCCGCCAGCTCAGGCCGCTTCAGCGCGCGATCCTCCGGGAACAGCCGCTGAAGCACGGTCACAAAAGCCTTGGCTCCCAAGACCGCGAAACGACATGTTGTGAGCTGGCTTGAGCACACCCATGGTTGTTCGGCTGGCAAAAGCTATTTGGTCAGTAGTGCCAGACTGTTGAGTAGGTGTGCCAAAAACGAAGACCACAATTGCCACATCGTATGCCCCTTTGGTCAGTATGTTCTATATTTCCAAGTTGAGAGAACGCACTCATTGGTTCGAGTCGGCTACCGCCTACTACAGGAAAGCTTACTCCCACTATGTGTTGCTTGCAATTGCTTTTTTGAACACGTGGACTTAACCACATGGGCCTAGCGCCGCACGGCGCTCTGCGCCGCACGGCGCCCTGCGCCGCACGGCGCCCAGCGCCGCCCGGCGCCCCGCCCCACAATTGCCACATCGTATGTCCCTTTGGTCAGTATGTTCTATATTTAGGGAACGCAGTCATTGATTCAACTCGGCTATCGCCTGCTACAGGAAAGCGGAAAGCTTACTACTACTATTACGTTTTGCTGGCAAATTCTATTTTTAGCACGTAGAGTTAATCACATGGGCCTAGCGCCGCACGGCGCCCAGCGCCCGGCCCAAACAAATGTACGTCAGTAGATGTTCTAATCTCCAAGCGTGGTTTGATCCTTCGTGAACAGGAATTGGCGCCGAGCGGCTCCTAGATAGATTAGAAAGAGTCAAGGGACAGAGATTGAACACCAGATTGGCCGAGGTTCCCTTTTCTCTTTCTTGGGGGTAAAAAAGGCACTGCTCGAGCATGGGCAACCACGGCACTCCGATCCAAACTGCCACGAACTCCACCACCCGCAGCGCTTTCGCCCGCCAGTGCGAGCAATGGCGGCAAAGGCGAGGTCGATCCGCAGTCGAATCGGCCCGCGCCACGCCCAAGTCAACGAGGACCTGATACCTGCAATGTAACAAGTTCACTTCATACAACTTGAGATCTCAGGATGCAAGACCTCTTCACAAAAAAACCTTGGGCTCTCAGGACGCAAGACACCTGCGCCGAAAAAACACTGGAAGAACCACTTCGCCATGTTCCACGGTGTCCATCCCAAAAGCTAATCAGATGATCAGTCTGAGGTGCAGCTCAGCGCTCAGGGTCGGCGAGCTGCCGCCAGGAATTGCATCGCAAACCACGCACAGCCGCACCATCTACAGCCCCCTATCATTCGTGCATTAGTGTAGTTGGACTTCGAGACCATTAAGGGAAGATACGAAGATACGTGGGCGACGTGAAACCTCTTATGCGTAGTGCGTTTTCAGTGAACCTAACAACATGCGCTACTATAACCTTGCCGTTGTTTTGTGAACCTTATCAATCCTGAAGGGTTCCCTCATTTTACTACTATATATTTGTCTTCACTGTAGTGATGCCTTCATCGGAGGTTTTGGCAGTTGCTCACGTGGCATCTGAGCACACATGCGTTGACAACGATGAGTTGATCGCTGCCATTGCTGCGATCCATCGGTATTTGGACATGTTGCGACCACAACCGTTGCGACAGGAAAATGGTTTCGGCCATTGGTTTGGAGGCCACTGTTTGGAGGCCGATGACCGTGCTTTTTTGGACTCGAGGACCTGCAATAGATTGCATAGAAAGGTGATGTTTAATTCGGCCTAAAGCGGTCTTATAATGAGGCCTGATCCACCACTACCATGCCGGGGTTTTCAATGAGTCATGCAGTCCAACTCTCAGGGATGACTATTCAGAAAAAACAAACGTAAAGAACAAACCAAGCTAGACCATCAAAAGGTGTCCAATGGAGATCTCTAAGTAGTGTAGGGTAGTCTATTGGACACCCCTTGATGGTCCTTGGATGGTCCTCGGATGGTCCTGGAATGTTTGTAATGCAGAAACATTCGACCAACAGTCGAACAAAACAAGTGAAACAATGACATCTTCCAGCACTGACCGGACAGTCACGCTCTTTCCGTCTGCGTCCTTTGGTGAATCCTCCGCATTGCATCAGTGCACAAGGGAAGTAGCTGGCTGGCAGGTGATGTTTCCTGTCACCAGCTGCGGCGTCCAGCTGTGGGTATCGGTATAGTACAGGTATAGCTGGACCCCCAATCCATCCCCAGACTGAAAGGCGCCTGCGAGCAGCTCTTCATGTGGTTTGATCTTATCCATCTTCATCAAGGTTGCTACCTGCGTAGCTTCTCTGCAAACAGGGTGGTGAATCTTAGTTTTTCTCAAATCATGTGGTTGGGTCTCTCTCATTCAGAACAGTCCAGTCAGCTGAACCTCTTCTCAAAGTCCCAAGTTACATGGCTCAGGAAGGCTTTCGCATCGAAGCAGGGCCTCTTAGATCGTCGTCTCAACGTCTTCACCATCACTCGAATGAAAGGTCCACATGTCCACATGGTGACCCTAAGGGGTCAACCGTGAAAGACCTTTGTTTTTTCTGCTTAGAGAAGGTTCTTGGTTGAATCCAAACATCATGTGCAAATAACAACATTACAACTTGTTTATAACCACCAACCTGGGTCGTCGTGTGGCCACTACACTGAAGTCACGAATCATCATGGTGTGTGTGTGTGTGGATGGCATGGCCCCGAAATTCTTCGGATGGCGAAAATCCGGTCTGACCAAGTTCAGGTGGTTTTCACTCACTCACTCCACGGAATCCCCGTGAGGTGGTGCCATTTTCACAGGTGGTTTTCACAGGGTGGAGTGCACCTGCCGCGGCTGGGATGAGACCGGACCGAACCGACCCCAAAGCCCGGAAGTGTCCAAGCAATGAGGTGTGGCAAATATCATGTGTATATATATTATATACACATAATATATAGTATTATGACATGTACCAGGACCATCCAAGGGGTGTCCAATGGACTACCCTACCCTACCCTACTTATGTCTCTATTGGGCACCCATTGGAAGTGTCTAACGAATGTCATTGTATGTCTAACGAATCAAAGACTCCGAATTCCCCATCCCACGGAAGACTTCCTGAGGAAAAACCACCCAACCAGCAACGCACACCAGAAAAAAAACGTCTTCTTGGCAAACTTCTCTCTGTATGGTATCACAGACTGAGGACGCACAGCAGTTGAACATCCGAGGTGCTGGAAGGGTGTACCTTAGATGCGCCGGCTGCATGATGAAGCAAATGACCAGAAGTTTAACCAGACTCTCTGGTCAAAACGGGGCCGATTTGGGAGCCTTCCTTGTCCAGCCGTTCGTTATGTAAGCCTTCCGTTTGTGCCGATATAGTAGCAGTCCATAGTATCATCAAATTGGAAAAATCATTTTAAATAACATGTGTTTTACATTGGTCTATAGTGTTTTCGTCTTCGTACAAAAACCTCTCCAACACCTGGACCTAGGTTCTGAGTCATTGTTTTACTATTAAACTTAGAGTGGAAACAACTGCAGCTGAAATTCGGTCAAGACCGGTTTATAATGTTTTGCAAAAACGAATTAGCGTGACTTGGTCAACGTAGCTCACAGTGAAACTTGTGACCCAAAATCGAACTATAGGCGCCTGGTTGTCCATGACTGTCTTGGACATGCTGAAAGGCCTGCGCTCATACTGTTTCAAGGGTTAGGATTGATGAAGTGGATTCTTGGTCCTCATAGGCTTTCATGGCCCGCACAAGGAATACATTTCGATCATACCATAAGCCTGGACCACACTGCCCTGGCAATCTCATATATACAAGCTTAGAGTTCAGTATTGTACGCGATTTGTCTAGTGCCTCCTAGTGCCCCCAAGGTCTCTTTCCCAGTTCAAAACCTTTGTGATGTGATTGCTACCAGTACCCAAGTTCTCTTTGATGTTGGGAATGGTAGCGGAAAGCAGTGTTGGCAGAACGGACGCCCCCGGACGATGGATCATGGATCGATGCCAATGCGGTGCCCTTCGTGGTGGAGGTGGTGGTGGCTGTGGCTATTGCGGCTCCCGTTGTTGCAGCAGCCTCTCAGTGGTCGTCGTTGCCGTTGCCTTCATTACCATCACTGTTGTTGTTGCTGCGGTTGGTGCGTGCGCCACTCAAAACTTGACACAAAAGAAGAACTCCAACGTTTCAGTTGCATCATGTTGCATCTATTACCATTATCGGCTAAGTGTTGATTTGAAGCCCTGACATTGCACATCTAAAGAAACCACATCACAGGTCACCAACATGTAAGAAGCACTCGGGGGTTGAAGACCTTTCGTCCACGTCCTCGTCGACTCGTTGCTCATTGCATCGAGAGCACATTGGAAAGAAGTGATCAACTGAGCTTTCCGAACCTTTCTCAGAGTCACCCAATGAGGTGGCATAACGCTCGAGTGGCGTTTGTAGCGAGGTCTTTCCATGTTGGGCACAGCCAGCGACACAGGGCATGGGCAGTACTGCTCGGAAATCAAAACTAAGTCCTGTCGGATCTGAAAATCAATGTGGCGGCTCAGGCCACAAAAACCTTGCCAACTCCTATGGAGTGGCGAAGGACAGAAGAACTCCTGTCGAACACAGCTGCGGGAGAATAGAGATGCGTCCCCATCTGACCATGATCCATGTGTGAGGAGCAGCTTAAGACTTGAGGGTATCACAAATACTCTGCTTCCCTCTATTAAACAAGTCCAAGTCGTGAGTCCAAGCACTATGATTCTCTATAGTTCTCCAATCAATCCTTCTAGTACCAGGAAGGAGGATCTCTAGTGAGCATTTAGCATCAAAGCATGTGAAAGCTTCAAACAAAGGAGTCTTGTGAAGTTTGAGCTTCTGTGTTGTAATTAAATGTACCACGGATGATTCGATTTAGTGTACCTAGTCGCTCTCTTCCAATCCAGCGCCGACCCAGCGCCGGCCTGGTGAGGGTGACCCCACAGACATAGAGGATCAACGCACAAATGACGCTCACCTGGCCGCGCGTGGCGAGGTCGACAGTGTCGATTGTTCGGTCGACAGGACGAGGAGAAACACGTGACGGTGAACCGTTCGATGGTACCTGTGTACATCGAACAACAACACCAAGAATAGACTTTTCATGAGAAACTATGATTTCATAATATGTATTCTGTGTGATATGTATTCTGTGTATGTGTACATCTATACTATGTATATATATATGCATTTTTGAACGTGTAGCTTTGTGCTGTTGCTTGCACTCGGGGCTGCGCTTGCATCCAGAGTTGTATGAATCTCTGCACGGAGCGTCTGGCTCGTGTTTCTAGTTTTTGGCCGTCTAACAGGCCCTGCCAACCACAACCAACACGTCGGCCTGCATATCCCAACAAATCATCGGAATCCATTGCCACATACAGTAATTGAACTTGGACTTATATCATCTTATGATACCTTGTAATTATATCATCTTATATCTTTGTTTCAATCCACTTGTCGCATCTTGTTGTCTTGGGTTGACTTGCACGCACATGCACACCAGAGCCACTTGCGAAACAGCATGCCACGCCACGCATGCGAGACAGTGTCAGTCTGCTCCTCTCTCCTTCTCTTCTCACTCTGAGGATCGAGCCCAGAACACCGACTGGACCGCATCCAGTAGACCCGAAGCGATGATGTGCAACCTGCAGCGCGCCGCCGGAACCGGCGGCCCCGGGCTGCGAAGCGCCGGCGCGGAGGCAGCACCCGACATGTCGCGTGCGTGTTTCGGGGCATCCCGGCTGGCGCATCACTCGGAAGATCCGGAAGATCCGCAAGATGCGCAGAAGCCTGGCACGGAAGCGCTGAGCTGGAGAGCCATTGGCTTCCAGCTGAACAGTTGGGAGCGGAATTCAAAGAGAGTTCAAAGCGTCCGGCCTCCCAAAATGCATCGACGGCTTGCATGCAAACAAGAACAACGAAGGATGGGGAGGGACGGGGAGGGAGTGGGATTAAATTGGGCTGGTGGTTTGTACGTATGAGACAATGCTCACTACCTTGAGGCCAAGAGCAAGCAAAAGCAATTATACCCATGCCGAAAACCAGTGTCATGCAGAGCCGTGAACCCTCCACATGTTCTCATAGCTCTATAATTAACAATAATAACAAGGACCTCACCTATAGGTACTCCTCATCTTCCACATCCCAAGTGATGTTTGGAAATGTTTGGAGGGTGGCCTCCCCGTTTCCAGCTCGGCCATCCACGTTCCAGCCCCCCCAGGTGCCCCGTTTGCCTAAAGACTCGCATCAGCACGATGTAGAGCTGTGGTCCTCACCGACACCGATCCCCCGGCCGCGGGCGATGTTTCAGGTGGTCTAGGCCTCCTCAGTTCAATGAACTCCACCTGAGGTGGTCTAGCCCTCTAGGATTTTTCAATGAACTCCACAGAACCTGGGCCACCGTCGTCGCAATTGACACCAAGCAACGCTGCTTCGGGAGATGTGCTTGGCTTGGCTTCGACCGACTCGGAGCCAGTGACAGTGACCATCTGGTGTGGATGCACATCCACTGGAAGATACTGGAACAACGTGCACCATCTAAACCCATCTAAACCCTACCTTTTCACATGCAATATCTAAAAGGCACTGGCAGGGTGCCTTACCAGGGATTTCTTAAGGAAGAAATGGCGCTCCCTTCTTGTTTGGACAAGGCCGACCGGGTGTTTTTCCCGCGTCGCGGCGTGAAGTGAACGGCGGATTCACCGAGATCACGAGATGTCACGAGTCAAACCTGGAGGGCCCGGGGCTTGAGACGCATGTCCTTACTAAGCATTGGATGGTGTGCACTGTGTTACTAAACAGATCTGAGCAACAAATACCCGCAAGTCCTCACGCGGCGAAAACAAGAGTTCGATGGCTTTTCTGGTGCTGAAGCCCGTTTGAGAGTTCCTTTGACCATGAACTCCGGGCCGACTGACCCCCGATCCCCGAACTTCTGGGCATCCCCACCAGTGGCCAGTCGTTGCAGCAGGCAAATCCCGCGGTCTATCACCTCTGCACTGGGTGTCGGTTCTGGCCAGGGACTCTTTTGGGCTTGACCTCAATCAACATGTACTCAACTGTACTCAACAACTACAGCATAGCAGCATAGCATAGGAATAGATCAATCTATATTAGTATAATACAAGTTACTGCCCAACAGGAAAAATAAGAAAATAGTCCCTAAAAACTAAAACTCTAGTCATGTTGCCTCGAAACTCTCCGTGATCCCGTTGGGTCCCGAATATTTATATATAGGAATATTTACAGTACCCTGGACCCTGACTTTCTGTCTACCCACCTGTCACGGATGTGTGACCTAGGGTAGTCGTGGAGTGCATACGGTGAATCTACCCACCCTGAAACTGGACTCTACCCCAACTGAGGCCGCGACTCCTAGAAATACTAAAGCAAAGTCAAAGGTATTCCAGTAGAAATCCTTGGCGTTGGATCTTCGGTTGAAGGACAAGCGATTCGGATCTTTAAAGGTGTTTCTTGCAGGATGATCCAGGATATATATCATATAAAAGTATATCGAATCATATTCATGTGATTTCATATGATATGCTCTTGAATTGGATCTATATGGATCTACCAAGCCGATCACTTGCCCAGGTCGGCCACAACATCTGAAGAACATCTCGTGCCCAGGTCGAACCGGGACACCGGAGCCCCCCGTGTCCGACTCGCCCTCGGCCCGGCGGCACCGATCCATTGGTGTTGAAGAACTCGGTCATGCCATAGGCACAAAGCCTATGGAGAAGTCCGCACGGGGTCCACGGAGGTCGACCGTGCCGCGCGCATGCAAAGACCCACGACTGGGCGGGTTTCGGATTCGAAGAGATACGTTTTGGGATCCCTTCGGAAGCGGTACATACCAGGGGTGCGGTCGACTGCAAAATGGTGAGCGCTCCAGTAGCCTTCAGTTCAGATCGCTCAGTAGGCCATGCGATCTGTGATGCTGAAGAGCTCGGAATATGATCTATATAGTCAGTGGATGTCAGTGGCCCTTAGTTGCCTTTGGATCGCCCAAATCGATCGAACTATCCACCGCAACTTGCATGGTGCAAGCACCCGCGCACCCGCTGGGCAGTCTCGGCCTCATGGTGAGTTCCATGGCAAAAAGGCAAAGGAAGATGTCCTCCCACCCAGCAGCTGGCCATAAAACAGGGCGCATATTGCATGGCACTTCTACCCAATACGTTGCATGGCATTGCCATGCATCGAGTGGATGACAAGTTGTTCGGCAACCAACAAAAAGGGCGACATATTCTTGCGATTCTGACCTCGCCAACATGGTGACTCGGGTTCCGGCGAGTCAGAAGATGGTTCTACAATGGTTCTACATGGTTCTACGGCGTTTGAGTTCTACTGCTGTTCGAACCACACAACAAATGGAACTGCAATTAGATGCAATGAGCTGGTGAGTCAAAGGGTTGGAGTTAAAGGCCTGGCCCCTCCATGTTCGCCTCCCAAATGGTGACTCTCCCCTTCTCCCTCCAACCCACGGTGGCACGGATCCCGTCGACGGCTTCGGGGGGGTCGAGTCGGGTCGGCCGAACGCCGAACCGCCTCCGTCGGCGGTTCCCCATGCGACGGTTTCGCAGGCCGATTCCACGAGGTACTCCGCTGCTGCCCCCCGCTGTGGTCTGGAAGGACACGTGAAGTTTTTCCACTATTTTGAAACACGTGTTAATGTGCAATATCATTCACATCCTTCGTTATTTTTGGGGCTATAGCTAAGAACCAAAATACTGGAGGTCGTAGTCTTGAGGACAGAGACCTGTTCCACCCCGAACTTCCTTGAAAAATCCGTCTCTGCAATCCGTCTCTGGCTCGCTCAGTACCCCCCGGGGACTCCTCGAGCTCGGGATAGAGCCTCGGAGTGCGACATTCGCCGCGGAGGGCCACGGAGGGTGGGTAATGGTGGATGCCTCGTTTGTCACCGGTGCTGTCCATGTGTTCTGGCTGCTGTGAGGTGGCTAAGCTAGCTTAGCTGGGCTAGCCCAGCTAGGAAAACAAAAACTCTCCAGGGGGGGAGATTCTCAAGCAGGAATGCATTGATTGACCTTGGGAACTGGTTAAGGTCTTGGTATCAAATCTTTGGTGGGAACAAGCATAGCAAGAGTCTGGCTATATATGAAGTCTGTAAATTTAAAGGCCATCTTGACTTGACTCGTCCTTCAATCCAAATCAAAATGATTCAGCAAAATGCAAACCCAACACTGGCCCAGTGGATCCAAGATCTCTTCCCCACCGGGCTTGCCTCAAATCAGCACTGCATTGAGGTTATAAGACCTATATAAGGAGTTCACATTTTGTTGCGTTCGTAGCTTCTTGTTACGTTCGTAGCGATGGCCTCCAACCTACAAGCATGATGGCCTCCACCGAGCTACTTGCGTCACGGAAACTCCGGGCAACTGTCCAGTGGAATCAATCGCATCCTGCAGCGTCACTTGCCGCATCCCCCAACAAACCTTCTTCATTGGATAGAGGACAAGCTTGGAACCTAAAAAAAAAAACCTGCTAAAGCAATCGTGCTGCGACGTAATTCCCCCTTTAATGAGAGGGTGTTATACGATAAAAAGGTCTTACAACAATTTGCCGCAATTTG